GTGGCAGGCTTCTTGCTAACTGTTCTTATATCTTAAATTAACCCATTTTTATAAATCTATACCTTGCCACGTGGCTGGTGGCTTACCGGCATCTTTACATGCTGCTTCTCCTGGCTGTGGCTGCAGTGTCTCTCTCCCTTCTTCCTGTTTCCCCAATTCTCCTCTCTCTTTGTCCCGCCTATACATTCTGCCTGGTCACTGGCCATCAGTGTTTTATTTATATAGAGTGATATCCACAGCAGATAGCTTATTACAGAGTCTGACTGTACATTAAGTGGGTCATCCTATCTACTTGATTATTAAACTCCTCAGATGAAGGCAATTTTTATGAGCGTTCACAGGGGACAAAAAAACTTCACATTAGCTGTTCCTTTGCAGATCTGTGTAAATACTACTTCCTGAAATGTATTTCCATATTTCTAGTTTTCTTTTTCGATTTTATTTTTTCTTCTCATACCGTCCCATCTGACCACAGTCTCCCCTCCCTCCACTCCAAATCCATATATTACTCTGTTTCCCTTCAGAAAAGCAAAGGTCTCCTGGGGATATCAAATGAACACAAGATAACAAAATGTAATTATAGTAGGCACAAACCCTCATATCAAGGCTGGAGAAGCCAACTCAGAAGGAGCCAATATCTGACAAACAGTTCAGAGACTCCACACACTCCTGCCATTAAGACTTCCACAAACCCCCTGAGCTGAACAGGCACATTAAATACACAGAGGACTTAGTACAGACCCATGCAGGCCTTGTGATGGCCTCTTCAGTGTCTATGAGCCCCTATAAGCCCTGTTTAGTTGACTATGTGAGCTCTGTACCCCTTGTGTCTTTGATGCCTCCTACAACCTGGCCTTTCCTTCTTCCTTGAGGTTCACTGAGTTCTGCTCATTGTTTGGCTATGAATCTCAGTATCTGCTCCCAACAGCTGTTGGAGAAATCCCACCTGATGTCCATTTTACTAAGCACCAATATCCCAGTGTAACAGAATTCATTAGGTATTGTCTCATGGATTGTGTGTGAGAATGTGTGTGTGTGTGTGTGTGTGTGTGTGTGTGTGTGTGTGTGTGTGTGTGTAAGTGAAGACACTGCACCAACTTTTACAGCTGAACACAGCTGGATGGACTAAAATGGCCGTTTTCAAACAAAAACACCATGGGAATCTATAAGCTGATTTTACAATTTTTATTCATTGGATATTTTATTTTGGTAATTTATTTATTAGAGATAGATGTGCCCATGGAGACAAGAGGAGGACTGAATAAAAGGACCTGTGCAAGATCAACAATTGCTTTTGCCAAGTGAGTCATCTCCCCTGTCCCAAACACTGAGTTTGGAGAAAAACTTTCTTCATTATCTTTGCTTCTCTTG